TCCAGGGGCCAGGGGCGGCTGCAGGAGAGGTAGCTGCTCCAGGGGCCAGGGGCTGCTGCTGCAGGGGCGGCTGCTCCAGGGGCCAGGGGCGGCTGCAGGTGCGGTTGCTCCAGGGGCCAGGGGCGGCTGCTGCAGTGGCGGCTGCTCCAGGGGCCAGGGGCGGCTGTTGCAGTGGCGGCTGCTCCAGGGGCCAGGGGCGGCTGCTGCATGGGCGGCTGCTCCAGAGGCGGCTGCTCCAGGGGCCAGGCGCGGGGTAGGTCAGGGCGACGCAGCGGGCAGGGGCGACGCAGCGGGCAGAGGCGACGCGCGGGCAGGGGCGACGCGGCGGGCAGGGCGACGCGGCGGGCAGGGGCGACGCCGCGGGCAGGGGCGACGCGGCGGGCAGAGCGACGCGGCGGGCAGGGGGGACGCCGCGGGCAGGGGCGACGCGGCGGGCAGGGCGACGCGGCGGGCAGGTGACGACGCCGCGGGCAGGTGGCGACGCCGCGGGCAGGTGGCGACGCCGCGGGCAGGGCGACGTGGCGGGCAGTGGGGCGCGGCCGCGCTACTGCAGGGCGGGGCTGCGTCCGCGTCGGCGGGGCCGCGACTGCGACCTAACGGGGCCGCGACAGCGACCTAACTGGGTCGCGCGCTGGCCTGACGGGCCTGCAGAGGCTGCATGCGGGCGGCGAGGGCCTGCAGGGGCGGCGCACGGTCGGGCAGAGGCTGCGCGCGGGCCTGACGGGCCTGCAGGGGCGGCTCTCGGGCCTGACGGGCCTGCAGAGGCGGCTCGGGGGCCTGACGGGTCTGCAGAGGCGGCTCGGGGGCCTGACGGACCTGCAGGGGCGGCTCAAGGGCCGTACTAGCTTGCAGGGGCGTCGCACTGGCCTAGGGCAGCAGGAGGCAGCGCAAGGGCTGCAGGACGGCACGCGGGCAGAACGAAGGGCGGGGCGCGCGAGGGCGCACTAGCAGAAAAAAGGGCGCACGAGGGCGCACGAGCAGAGAAAGGCGCACGAGGGCGCACGTAAGGTAGGGCGCACGAGGGCGCTTCTAGCGGAATAGTGGGCCCGTAGTAGAAAGCGGTCCTAGGTGGCAACCTAGGCTCGTGATACCATGTCAGAATGAACAAGAGTGTTTGAACTAGAAAGGTTGGGGATACAAGTAGGAAACCCTAGAGTAATGTACCCCCTAAAGGCTAACCCACAGTAGCCTACACAGCAGTAACATATATAATGTTTGACAGCTAGGCAAGGACCTCAGGACGTGCGTGGGTTGGAAGTGTCGCGATTGGTGCGGGGCGACTCGGAGTTCGGGCCGAAACTGTAGACCGAACCCGTCTGACGCGAAGAGCTCGGGGCTGTCCTCGCTAAGGGCAGCTTCAGCAGTAATGAATTATATATTCATTACACTCTCCAACCTTCTATATAAGGCCTCCTTATACGTAGCTGAGTCTTGTAGTAGCGTGAAAACTGCAGATCTTCGGTTGGAACGGATCTGACGGTGTAGCGAAGCGTTGACCGTCGAGCTGACGCGTGGCTCACTATTTGACCAGGCAAAAATTGAAACGGTTAGGATGTCAGCCCTCGTATTTCCCAGATGTCGATATCACGATCGCGACTGCAGAGGGGAATTGAGTCCGCGATTGAACTGAATTCGTTGATGTAGCAAATGCGAATCGGACGGTTACTGACGCTGGCGATGTTGGCGGGAATTCTGACACGATGTCAGATGTCAGTGAATCGGGAACCATCGATGTCGATGAAGCTATCCCGATCGTCCGTCGTGCTGAATGTGTCAGACAAAAACTGTAAGAAAAATGCCAAGTACGGTGCGAACGCACTCTTTCTCCCCCCCTTGAAGAAAAGGGTAGACCACTAATGTAGTACAGCTGCACTGGCACAAAACTCCAACCATTCTGACGCCGGGGCTAGTCGAGGACACCAATTGTTATGAACCCTGTCTTGAAATTTTAGCAGCTGCACTGTCGAAATGGTTGTCGGTGGCGAAATATCGTTGCTGTGGCGTTTTAGAAAACACCCAGGGTAAACCGCGTCGACGCCCCCTGAAAATATCGTTTTGCCCTTTGCCTTGTAGTCGTGACTACTGCTGCAGCAACTCCAGTGACTGCAACTCCAAAATCACCGCTGGCAGCATCAAATCATCCAACTGCTGCAGTATCTCTAGCTGGCAGCAGTTGCTACCCAGAGCCGCTGCTATCCTGTCGTTGGCGCGAGGTGTTTGTCGCTTGCTGAAAAGCGAACCCATCCAAAAAAATATTATGTCGTGACTCCCGATCGTTTTTGCGCGTCGTTGAAAAGGGTCGCGAAACCAGCGAAGTCGTAATAGCACATCAGCGACATTTGACGAGAAAGGCGAGGTCACGTAACTGACCGAGTGTCAGGCTTGAAAGTCAATTGAAAACTCGAACTCAGGTGCGTATGATGTCAGCACCCACGACAGTTTTGTCCAGACTCTCCGAGGCTTTTGTCGTCATTCTCCGAAAACTCCCGGGCAGAGCGAAATCAGCTGCTGCTCCTCCCCCTGACCTCCGAAATATTTTTTCGAACTCGAATTGAACTGCAATTGACGTCAGCATCACTGTCGGCGTTGCCGTGACTCGCCGAACTCTCTTGGGCAGGGGCGAAAAACAGTTGTCGCCTCTCCCCCCTTCGGTAGCAAAATTTCTCCCTGGTGTTGTCGCTGTTACCCCCGAACATCTTCCGAATTGTACGGCTACTCTTTTCACGACGGGTTCTTTCGCGCGCTTAATCGAGCACCGCTGCAACTCTGCCGTTGGCACGGATACTGTCGACGACCCCGCCGACTCCGTTAAGACTCGTCCTCGGAACTGCTCGTGGCCCCCGCAATTGTCGGAAATGAAAACACACTTCATAAATCTTGGTCGCCTGCAGGTTGTCCCCCGAAAGAACCGGTGTTTCTAGCATGCCCACCCGGTCACTATTGTCTTCGTGCGGTTAACCACCCAAGCGACCCACCAATAGGAGGTGCTTTTTCGACGTAGAACCCAGTACTTATGGGTCTTCCGAGACCGATTTTCACGAACCCTAGCGCGCATCAACGCCGCAGATCTTGCCGTATGACCTCCGGCTCCTACACGAATCTGTAATTGCGCGAATTCAGCCTACACCCTCATTAGTACGCAGATCAATCAGTGTACAGCTGTACAAAATCGCTGAAATTTCAGCCCTTCCACTAAAAAAGTCGCTGAAATATCAGCCCATACATAAAAAAAAAAACCTGACAAATCAGCCCACACCTAATCAACATGTCTGAAAAATCAGCCTACAGACCCTAGATTAGCCTTTTTCTGCTGAAATCTGAGGCCCTGGTGGTCGGCCTTCCGCGAGGCAGCGTACGGTTTTGGGGTTTTGTCAGTGGGAAGGGGGGGGCAGCAAGGGCGAGGCGGTGTGGAGGTGGAGGAGGAACAGCGATGCAGCGGGGGTGGTGGCAGATGAGGTGAACCTCATATCGCATGCCAGCAGCAACGCACCTGTGCAGTGCTGGGTGTGAGGTAGTGCCGGGTGCGAGGCAGTGTGGAGGTGGAGGAGGAACAGCGATGCCGCAGGGGTGGTGGCAGATGAAGCTAATCTGATATCGCATGCCAGCAGCAAGGCACCTGCACAGTGCCGGGTGTGAGTGATGCAAGAGCCACACAGGGTGTGGCAGCAGCATGGGGTGGGGCAGAGTGGAGGTGAAGGGAGGTGGAGGGAGGTGGAAAGAGGCGGTGTGGAGGAGGAGGAGGAACAGTGATGCAGCGAGGGTGGTGGCAGATGAGGTGAACGTCATATCGCATGCCAGCAGCAAGGCACCTGCGCAGTGCCGGGGGTGACTGATGCTAGAGCCGCACAGGGTGTGGCGGAAGCAGGGGAAGGGAAGTGTGGAGGGAGGCGGTGTGGAGGTGGAGGAGGAACAGCGATGCAGTGGGGGTGGTGGCAGATGAGGTGAACGTCATATCGCATGCCAGCAGCAAGGCACCTGCGCAGTGCCGGGGGGTGACTGATGCTAGAGCCGCACAGGGTGTGGAGGAAGCAGGGGAAGGGCAGTGTGGAGGGAGGCGGTGTGGAGGTGGAGGAGGAACAGCGATGCAGTGGGGGTGGTGACAGATGAGGTGAACGTCATATCGCATGCTAGCAGCAAGGCACCTGCGCAGTGCCGCGTGTGTCGGGAGCGTGACCCGCCATGTGCCGGGAGCGTGACCCTCCATGTGCCAGGAGCGTGACCCTCCATGTGCCGGGAGCGTGACCCTCCATGTGCCAGGTGTGACTGATGCGAGAGCCGCATAGGGTATGGCAGAAGCACAGGTGGGGCAAAAGTGGCGGTGGAGGAGGTGGAGGGTTTCATGTTATGTGATGTGAACCTCCAGGCAAGGGAAGGGACAGGCAGTCCGGCACATGTAGAGTAGGGTACAGGTGCGCTAGTGTTTGCTGTTTAGAGGCCAGTTGCTGGTGGAACATACGGTATTGGTTGCTGTTCCTGTTTGTCTTGTAATAAAGCTGCTAGAAGTTTTGAGCATATGGGTTGAGTGAGTGAGTCCAGCTGACTGAGGCTGGTTGCTGTTAGCAAACACCAGCGCCATTAACTGGCCAAGATGTGCAAAACACCCTTGCACAACTGTAACTGACCAGGCTCAAAACCATCGCCGAAATCTGCGCAGTCTACTCTATACACACCAGGGGCCGTTCCGTTCGTGTGCACTACTCCATCATCAACACGCCTGGCTTCGCTTCGCTTTGCAGACAGTCGCGTGTAGGCAGATGCGGTTTCAGGGTACCAATCGTTTTGAACAAGAGGACTCTTATGGGAAAAATGAGATGGGGGCTGTAATAACTGCATGGTGCACTTACCGTGCCGTTATCACCCGGCCCGGACATACCACCCACAGAAATTAAATTCCCAAGGGTGGCTTGTGCGGGGTGGGTGTTTGATTTAGCCTCATTTTTGTTATACACCCCTTTTGGGGTCCTTATTCGGCAACACCCCTTTCATGGAGCTGCGCTGCTCTACATGAACACGAGTGGGGCAAGGGCGAGAGTTGTAAGGGCAGCGAGAGCAGTGGGGACAAGCGAACCTGCCATCGCGAGAAGGAACATCAGGAAAAACAGAAGAAGGTCAAAACATCTTACTTGGAAAACAGGAGACGAGGGCAGGTGAAAAAAAGGCATAGCATCCGATTGGAGAGATGTGGAAATAAGGCGCGGATTTACAGGGTGAGGTACCCAACAAGAAGGCAAAATTGAGGCAAAAGAAGTATCTGAGAAAATGCAAACGGTGCCCAGCCTACCACATCAAAAAGGGAGAAGACGCACACGAGAAGCATGGGAGAAGCATAGGAGAAGCATAGGAGAAACAACTCACCAGAAGTCTTGGGTGGGGGAGGAGCAGCGGCAGGAGTAGAAGCACCAGCCGGGAGAGAAGTGGAACCAGCAGGGGGAGCACCGGCATCAGCAGTAGGAACACCGGCATCAGTAGGAGGAGAAGCGGCATTAGTAGGAGGAGAAGCAGCATCAGCAGAGGAAGCAGCGGCACCAGCAGAAGGAGAAGCGGCGGCAGCAGTGGGAATGGATGGAGAGGCCAAAGCGACCCTGCCGTCAGCTGTGACGGTCAGCAGCGCCCCAGCATAGAGCACCACACCAGTGCTGGTTACAACAATAGTGACGTTGCCCCACCATTTCACGTCCCCTGCACTGTACGACCCATCCTCATTCCGGATCAGCACAATCTTTGCTCCCGTACCGTCCAGAACCGTTCCGTTTACCAGAACCGTCGTTCTTCCCACACGCAGCCCCGCGTTGGGCCCAGCAGTGTCAATAGCAATGCCGCCCGGAGCCGCAATCGTGCCGTTCTTGTAAAGCGTGCAGCCGTCAACAGAGCGGGACCCGTCGGGGTTGGTGGTGGTTTGGACAGGCTTGCTGGAGGAATCTAGGAGGGAGAGATTCGTGCCGGTCAACCACAGTGTATAGCCGCCGAACGACAGGCTGCGGGTGGCGGGATTCGCGGAGATGGCGACGCCAGGCACGGGAACAGCAACCCGCGGAGCGAAAGCAACGCTGCCGTCCGCTGTGAGGGTGAGCGGCGCGCCGGCGTTGATCACCGCGCCACCGCTGCCAATGATGAGGCCGTTTCTAGGCCACCCAGTCATGTCCCCTGCTGTGTACGACCCGTCCCCTTTAGGGTTTTTCGTCGGCACGAGTTTCTTTCCCGAACCGTCCACAATGGTTCCGTTCCTTAGAACTGTTGTTGTTCCCATCGAGAACAATGGATCAGAGCTGGAACCTTGAAGGTAGATGGTAAGGCCGCCCGGACCAGTGACGGTGCCGTTTTGGTACGCGGTGTACCCGGCAACAGTGGCGGATCCGTCCGCGTTATAGGTGGGCGCGACAGGCGCGCCGTTCCAGTCGACAACGGAGAGCGAAGGCGGGTTGGTTGCGGCATTCACAGACACAGTGTACCCCGGACCCAACGACAAGATATGAGTGGCCAACAGGTAGGTGACTGCAGCGAATGTATCATGATCCTGTGCGACAGCGATAGTCACTGTCGCTGATGAGACGATCAGGGCGAGCAGCAGCAGCAGCCGCGGAACGCGCGTCCCACGCGGAGGAGCCTGGCGCGCCATGGCTGGCAGGAAGTTGTGGTTATGGTCGGGTGGGTGGAGGCGAGGAGAAAAGGGTAAACAGGGCTCGCAGACTCGGCCGCTCGCTCGCTCGATGCGCGCGCGCCGCGGCGGTGCGCGCTCCGGAAGTTCCTCTGCTCTAAGCTCCTCGGTGCGCGCGGGACTGACAGACGGGTGGTGAGCGGCATCGCGGGATGAAAACCGCGAAAAGAGGGAGTCCTCCCAAAAACCAAGAATTGTGAGGCAGAAATTGCTTCGAAAGCGTGGGATACCCCCAGATCACCCTTCGAAAGCTTGGGGGGTACCCTGAAGTTCCCACCAACAGTCTCGCAGGATGCCTTTGCGCTCGGGCGACCGCTGCGAAGTGGTAATTCTCGCAGTTGGCATTTCGAGAGAAGGATGCGGCCCAATCAGGGTTTGGTTCAGTTCGTTGTAACCCAGGGAAAAACCCCAGCTTCGGAGGGAGCTTCCGCTTCAGCTTGGGATGATGGTCTGGTTTGGGGTCGAGGCGATTTTCACAAGAGGAGACCGTTTATGGGAAATCCATTTGTAATATTGCTCAAAATCAGTTGCTACATGCTGGTGCTCACACCTTGTTGACAAGTGAATGAAATCAAATACCGTTTAGTGCCTTTTGCTTAAAGACGCAACATAAAAAACAGGATCAATGAACGGATACTCTGGGCTGTTGTCGTCCAGACTATAATCAGAGATATTATTATGGTTACCAAAATTCTTCATCTTACCGTAACATTATCACAACTTTGCCTAAGAGATTGATTGTCCAGACCAGATCATGCAGCACACACAACAAATTTAGGGAGGTTACTGTGGTACTACATATCCCAAAGAGCCTCTCAAGCTACAGTGCACTCATGAGACAAGTATGCTACTTCTACATTAAGGACGCCCTCCTTTCTGCCATCCATATTTTCTGCCCCTCGTCTCCTCCTTCTCACCCGTCATGATCCTTTTTTCCTCCACTTTACCCACCTCCTCCTCCCCAGCCATAACTCTCATTTTGTGCACCATCTCCCCCTTCATTACAATAGCCATATCTTTTTGCTTCCTGCGCTTCTCTTCCGTCTGTCTAGACTCCACGCACCTACGCTCCCTTGCCTTTGCCCCCTTCTCAGCCCTCTTCACTTGCGCTCGCTCAAAACCTTTCTCAAGGTCCTCTGCCAGCTGCCACTTCTCCAACCTTCTATGATGTTCCTCTGATGCATGCTTATACTCATGGTCCCCCTGAGACAAAAGCATGGAGTGGAATAGAAAATGAACGTGGCACAAATAAGCGCAAGTCTGTGAGAATCTACAAGAAATGGCATTCATGGTGGTCAGTGTGAGAGAATCGGCGAAATACATGAACCCTCCAGATTACATGGTGCTCAAGCTCATCATCAAACCCTTCAAGAACGAAACATGCTATTCCTCCTCTTCCTATCACTCTTACTAACGCACGCACCTTCTCTCACCAGCAGTCTTGAACTCACAGCTGGAAAGTAATATTGAAGGCAATCCAAGAGCTGCTCTGACCTCAGCTTTGGCTTTTGCTCCGCCTTCTCCTTCTCCCTTCGTGCTTGCCTTTCCTTCTTCTTCATTCTCCGTGCTTCCTCCGCCCTCTCCTTCTGCCTCCATGCTATCTCTGCCTGTTCCGCCTGCTCCTTTTCCCTCCTTGCTTGTTCCGCCTGCTCCTTTTCCCTCCTTGCTTGTTCCGCCTGCTCCTTTTCCCTCCTTGCTTGCTCCGCTTGCTCCTTCTCCCTCTTTGTTCGCTCTGCCTTGTTCTCCTTTATTGCTTGCTTCGCCCTTTTCTTCAACCTTCCTAATTCCTCCGTCCTCGCCTTGTGCCTCTGTGCTTGCTCTGCCTGCTCCGCCTTCTCCCTCCTCACTTGCTCTGCCTTCTACTTATCCCTCCTCGCTTGCTCTGCCTTCTCCTTATCCCTCCTCGCTTGCCCTGCCTTCTCCTTTTCCCTCCTCGCTTGCTCTGCCTTCTCCTTATCCCTCCTTGCAGCTTGCTCCTTCTCCCTCTTTGCTCGCTCTGCCTTCTTCTCTTTTATTGCTTGCTTCGCCCTTTTCTTCAACCTTCCTAATTCCTCCGTCCTCTCCTTCTGCCTCTGTGCTTGCTCTGCCTGTTCTGCCTTCTCCTTATCCCTCCTCGCTTTCTCTGCCTTCTCCTTATCCCTCCTCGCTTTCTCTGCCTTCTCCTTATCCCTCCTCGCTTTCTCTGCCTTCTCCTTATCCCTCCTCGCTTTCTCTGCCTTCTCCTTATCCCTCCTCGCTTTCTCTGCCTGTTCTGCCTTCTCCTTATCCCTCCTCGCTTTCTCTGCCTGTTCTGCCTTCTCCTTATCCCTCCTCGCTTGCTCTGCCTTCTCCTTATCCCCCCTCACTTGCTCTGCCTTCTCCTTATCCCCCCTCGCTTGCTCTGCCTTCTCCTTATCCCCCCTCGCTTGCTCTGCCTTCTCCTTATCCCCCCTCGCTTTCTCTGCCTTCTCCTTATCCCTCCTAGCTTGCTCTGCCTTCTCCTTATCCCTCCTCGCTTGCTCTGCCTTCTCCTTATCCCTCCTCGCTTGCTCTGCCTTCTCCTTATCCCTCCTCGCTTGCTCTGCCTTCTCCTTATCCCCCCTCGCTTGCTCTGCCTTCTCCTTATCCCCCCTCGCTTGCTCAGCCTTCTCCTTATCCCTCCTCGCTTGCTCTGCCTTCTCCTTATCCCTCCTCGCTTGCTCTGCCTTCTCCTTATCCCTCCTCGCTTGCTCTGCCTTCTCCTTATCCCTCCTCGCTAGCTCTGCCTTCTCCTTATCCCTCCTCGCTTGCTCTGCCTTCTCCATCCCTCCTCGCTTGCTCTGCCTTCTCCTTATCCCTCCTCGCTTGCTCTGCCTTCTCCTTATCCCTCCTCGCTTGCTCCGCCTTCTCCTTATCCCTCCTTGCTTGCTCCGCCTTCTCCTTATCCCTCCTCGCTTGCTCCGCCTTCTCCTCACGTGACCTTTCCTCCTTTGCCATCAGCATCTCTCTCCTTATCCTTCACATCTACTCTTTCAGCGAGGCGGTAAGAACTTCATGTTTGAACTGCTCCCTCCACCGTTGCTCCATCCTTTGCTGCATCTCTTCCATCTTCCCTACCAACTTCCTCACCTCATCAGCCAATCCCCTTCCCCACTGTTGCCCCACCTCTTCAACCTTCCCCATAACTTTCCTCATCTCATCAACTTCCTCGTGTGCCAACCTCACGTTCCACCTCATCGTTGCTTCTACAACCACTCTCAATCTGTTCATCTGCTCATCCAAATCCTGCCTCCACTGCTGACTCATCTCGTCCAACTTCCCCACCAGCCTCAATGCCTCCCCTGCCCCCTCCTCCCTCACCAGCTGCATCTCCCTCCGTATTGCATCCATTCCTTGTTCTCCTTCCTTGTATTGCACCAACTGCTGCACCCACACGTGCATCTCCCTCCTCAGCTCCTCCTGCTGCCGCCGCAACTCATGAAGCTCCTGGGGCACTCTTTGTATGCTGCAGAGTACAGCGCTGGCAGCCCACCAACACCTGGTCACAGAAACACAACAAAGCTCAATAAATCATGCAGAGATAACACCATCCAAATGGCTAAACTACAAACATCTGCGAGAAACTGGGGCATGATTGGAGTAAGCAGGTGAATGTTCAGCTGAGACTGTGATGCCCACACATCTAGCAATTGGCTTTTGCGTCAACGTAAAAGGCATACCTGGCAATTGCAGTCATGACATGTGCCCTCGCGGCATCACATTGAGCAGCTGTTTGATGCGCTGCAGATGTGAGTTGATAGAAAAAGGAAACCTGCACAACATAAGGGTAATAGTATACAGCCCAGGGAAATGACGACTGTGACGTCATGAGAACTGGAAAGTGATGGATTTTCTCTTGAATGTCGTCATTTCCCAGTCCAAGTGCAAGAGGAAGGCAGAAGAGAAGAAGAGAACATCAGGGAGGGACCAGTAAGGTGATGCAAATGGTAAGGTCAAATGCAGGGCTAGATTCAGGAAAACAAATCACACTATGGCATGGTATACAGGGTAAGCACGCTGATTGGAAAATGAATTAGTGATGTTCCATATTGATAAATGCTGCCGAGTGTCAAACTCGTGAAGCAGACTCAGTGTCGCACCATATAGGAAATGCCCGTTGCCTGGAGCCTTCGCATCCCACGCTTGGCAGCGGACAGGTGGCGATGCAGGCAGGCGAGGAGGTGGGAGAGGGAGACGCCCATGCAGCAGAGGACGAGCGCGAGTGTGGTGGAGAGGAGGTATGCGTGGATGATCTGATGGGAGACGGACAGGGAAACAGGAAGGAAGTAATGCAAGATGAAGACAAGGAAAGCTGCATGTCAGACAATACATATGGACGAGGGCAAGCGTGGTGCAAGCGTGGTGCAAGCGGGGTGCAAGCGGGGTGCAAGCGGGGTGCAAGCGGGGTATTTGTGGTGTGGCTAAGCTGAAATCAGGTTTGGGCGAGAGATAAGACCGGGGGGTGGGGGGGTGTGGGGGGTGGGGTGGGGGAGGAGAAGATAAAGGGTGATAGAGAAAGAGGACACCCATCTCATCTCAACCCCCTCTCACAAATCATCTTATCTCACCCCTCTTATCAAATCAGCTCACCTCACCCTGCTCACCCCCTTCTCACCATCAAATACACCCTGGATGCTCCATCCCCTCCTCCGAACACCACCCTTCCATCAGCCTCATCTAACGCGCTGTGACTGCTGGAGCGTTGAGCATCCACGTCAGCATGCAGACTGGCCGCACGAGAAGCACCGAGGGAAGGCGCCAACACAGCAGCACCACAGAGAACCGCGTTCATGGAAACACCAGGAGGAAGGGACGTGGCGGCAGGCAGACTTCTCGCAGTACACCACGTTCGTGACAGCATGATGGCAACAGTCATGGCCACGGCTCAGGCTGCCAAGGCAGACGAGGCAGAGTTTCTATGCCAAACCTGGCAACCCACGGCTGGAGTAGTTGCCATGCATGAGTGTCTCACGCATGTGATTCGTGAGGATCCTCGCGCAGTCACGTCTTTTGCAGTCGCGATTCTTCCAGTCACGTCGTCCGTCAACGCGAAACGCGACAGCAGGTGCCAGGAGGTAGGGTACTATCTACGAAATGACATTCTATCTGTTTTTCGGTAGAACATTAGCGGATTTCTGTGTCGAGGTCTTGAAAGCTGGAAGACAGCAGCTGGACTGGGCTAGAAAGAAGGAACTCGATTGGAGGAGACGTTTGAGATACCGACGGCACGTTATCTCTGGAGTAGCACCCATGGTTCAGGCTCCCGTGTCTCATTGTGCGATGGAACACTCGGCGGCGACGCCGCGTCGCATTGTGCGTCGTATTCGGCGTCGCACGCGTCGGACGATCGATGAGTACGACCGGCGCGGGGAGAGTAGTAAACGCAGCAAGGCGTTCACTCCGCTGCCCCGCGCCGCGCCCGTTGTCGAAAGCGAGGCCTCGTGCCGTGAGCAGCTCCATACATGCACACCGTCCGTGGCCTCGAGAGCGCTCAAAACATCTCACACGGCAAGCTGAAACAGACGAAAGCTTCATGCGCACGCAGGGCGCAGCGCGAACTCGATATCGCGACATGCGAGATATAGCCGTATGCCGACGAGTGTAGGAATGAAGATAGGGAAGGACAGGGCGTGAGGATTGCGTGAAATGCGTAGCCTCCGTGCTTATTGTGGATCCCTGCATGCATAAAGAGGTTCTCGTTTAGGGCGTATTCATTCTTATGTAGGTGATCTGTTTCTTTGGGCAAGGGTTTAAATAAACAGGTTGTTCAATAACGTAAAACTTGCATTTCCCTCATAAATAGTTTGATGTAGTGTAATGGTGAGTATCTCCACCTGTCACGCGGAAGATCCGGGTTCCCGGCATCAGAGTTTTTCATGAAGCTGTGTAAGCACGCCTTGATGATACCGGTAAGGTTGTAGCCAGGACCAGGAGCAATCATTTGACACCACCCTGCAAAGGCAATAGCTATTGTCAAGGTGCAAAATCAAGCAAGAGTTACAAACTCTATCATTTTTTTTGCTGAAGTCATAAACAGCAGGTGGACTCACTTATTCCAACACAATTATGCTACAGATGAATGTGACGAACAAGAGTTTCCCAACATCCTCCCTGTACATGGAAATGTGTTGCTCTACATGAGCATGAGTGGGGCGAGGGCGAGAGTGATGAGAGCAGTGAGCACAGTGGCCGGTGAAGCAAGCGAACCTGCCATTGCTAGGGGGGACAGCAGGGAAAACAGCATCAGGTCAGAACAACCTACTTGAAAAAGCAGGAAACGAGGGCAGGAAAAAAAAGGAGGGATCGGATCAGAGAGATTTGGAAATGTGCAGCGGAATTACAACAGGGCAAGGTACCAAGCAGGAAGGCAAGATTGAGGCAGAAGAAGCATGGGAGAAGCATAGGAGAAGCAAAGGAGAAGCAAAGGAGAAGCAAAGGAGAAGCATAGGAGAAGCATAGGAGAAGCAAAGGAGAAGCAAAGGAGAAGCATAGGAGAAGCATAGGAGAAGCATAGGAGAAGCATAGGAGAAGCATAGGAGAAGCATAGGAGAAGCAAAGGAGAAGCAAAGGAGAAGCAAAGGAGAAGCATAGGAGAAGCATAGGAGAAGCATGGGAGAAGCATAGGAGAATCATAGGAGAAGCATAGGAGAAGCATAGGAGAAGCATGGGAGAAGCATAGGAGAAGCATAGGAGAAGCATAGGAGAATCATAGGAGAAGCATGGGAGAAGCATAGGAGAAGCATAGGAGAAGCAAAGGAGAAGCATAGGAGAAGCATAGGAGAAGCATAGGAGAAGCATAGGAGAAGCATAGGAGAAGCATAGGAGAAGCATAGGAGAAGCATGGGAGAAGCATAGGAGAAGCATAGGAGAAGAATGGGAGAAGCATAGGAGAAGCATGGGAGAAACAACTCACCGGCAGTCTTGGGAGGGGGAGGAGCAGCGGCAAGAGTTGAGGCAGCAGGGGGAGAAGTGGCACCAGCAGTAGGAGCAGCGGCATCAGCAGGAGGAAAAGTGGCACCAGCAGAGGAAACAGCGACACCAGCCGAAGGAACAGCAGTGGGAAGGGAAGGAGAAGCCAAAGTGACCCTGCCATCAGCTGTGAGAGCAAGCGGCGCCCCAGCATACAGCACCACACCAGAGTTGGTGTCAATAATAGTACCGTTAGCCCACCCTTTCACGTCCCCTGCACTGTACGACCCGTCCCCATTCGGCCCCGTCGGCGTGATTTTTGCTCCCGAACCATCCAGAACCGTTCCGTTTACCAGAACCGTCGTTCTTCCCACACGCAGCCCCGCGTTGGGCCCAGCAGTGTCGATCGCAATGCGGCCGCCCGGAGCAGCGATGGTGCCGTTCTTGTAAAGCGTGTAGTCGCCAAGAGAGCGGGACCCGTCGGGGTTGGTGGTGGTGGTGACAGGCTGGCCAGTGGAATCTAGAAGGGAGAGTTTATTGCAAGGCCCAGTGCCAAAAATCGGCCCTGTGCCGCTCAACAGCACCGTGTAGCCGCCGAAAAACAGGCTGCGGGTGGCGGGGTTTGCCGAGATGGCGGCGCCAGGCACGGGATAAGCAGCCCGCGGCGCGAAAGCAACGCTGCCGTCCGCTGTGACGGTGAGCGGCGCGCCGGCGTAGATCACGGCGCCACAGCTGCCAATGATGAAGCCGTTAGGCCACCCAGTCAGGTCCCCTGCAGTGTACGACCCGTCTCCGTTAGGGTTTCTCGTCGGCACTAGCTTCCTTCCTGAACCGTCCACAATCGTTCCGTTCTTCAGGACAGTTGTTGTTCCAACCGAGAACAATGGATCAGTGCTGGAACTTTGAAGGTAGATGGAAAGGCCGCCCGGACCGGTGACGGTGCCGTTTTGGTACGCGGTGTACCCGGCCACAGTGGCGGATCCGTCCGCGTTATAAGTGAGCGCGACAGGCGCGCCTTTCCAGTCGACAACGGCCAGCGAAGGCGGGTTGGTTGCGGGGCTCACAGACACAGTGTACCCCGGACCGAACCTCAGGCTCTGGGTGGCCGGCACGAAGGAGACTGGGGCGAATGTACCCGGACTGGCCCTCTGCGCGACTGCGACAGTCGCCGAGACGACCAAAGCGAGCAGCAGCAGCAGCAGCAGCCGCGGGACACGCGTCCCGCGCGACGGAGCCTGGCGCGCCATGGCTGGCGGGGGAGGTTGTGGTCCGAGTCGGACGGGTGGAGGCCGCCTGACTCGCTGAGAAGAGAAAAGGGTAAACAGGGCTCGCTCGATGGCGCGCGCCGCGGCGGTGCGCGCTCCGGAAGTTCCTCTGCTCTAGACTCGCTCGGTGCGCGTGGGACTGGCAGACGGCGGGTGGTGGAGCGGCGACATCGCGGGATGACAGGTCAACCTGCTCCGAGGCGAGGCGGCGGGAGGGCCATACCTCCGAAGGCGAGGAGAACGGGTCTCTGAGCGACGCGAGCGGGTCTCCTCGCGCGAAGGACGGGATAGACCCGAGCGGGTCTCCTTCGCGCGAAGGACCCGTGACGGGATCATGTACCGGATCTGCTGGTCCTATACTGACGAACCGATCGCTGCGCCGCCATCGCGAAAAGTGCGGAACCGGATCCGAATAGCATAATTTATCGCCACCGTGACGCTCAGCTGCGCTGCCCGCTTTCATCGCCTAAAAGACACGGTTGGTTACCTGAGAGGCGTGTTATGCTACAGCATGAACTCAAGGGCCAAAGGACTACGCCTCGTGTGACTAATCCCAGTCAGCTTTGCTCGAACTGGGTTGACTAAAGAAGAACTTCGTTGATCCAATTTCTTACCAATTTCTCAGTTTCATCGCCCAGTCAGCATCGCTCGAACTCCTTTCATCCCCCCAAGTTCAACCACTGCGAGAAACGACAGTTTCGCGTCTCCCTGCCCAGACGTTGAAATTAGACCTGGTTGAGGAGAAGGTGTACAGCAGGGTACTGTACACATGGTCCGCCGTTAATTAACCGCCATGTTTGTCGGCATGCAGGGCGTTTTCTGTTAGGTGGCCAGAAATCGCTGTTCACACTTGTGAACCTTACCAAACCAAGTGGGAGAAATCGGTGAGCATTATTTTTAAACAATTAGCTGCAGTCGCACTGGCGGGACATATTTCGCGACTCTTCTATTTGGCATATCGCCACCATCGAGCTTCTAATTTCCTGACACAATACAAGAGCAAATGCCCCTGTCGGCTGTATCTTCACCCTCACATAGTCCAACGTATCTATCTGTAACAAATGCAGTGAAAACCTTAACAGGTCGATGTAGTATAATGGTCAGTATCTCCGCCTGTCACGCGGAAGATCCGGGTTCGATCCCCGGCATCGGCGCAATGGCCATTTTTGTTGCAGTGGTCACACCTGTTCCTTCTGTAGCCTTTTTGGTCAGACAGGACTGTGTGACCTTTACCCCAATAATCCAAATCATGCTGTTAACTACCCTGTATCAGATCGTCTGAGCGGGGTGTGAAAGATAATGGGTGTGGAATTACCAGTTTCATCGTAGTGGCTAGGTCTATAGGGCGGTGTTATGTAACCCCTAGTTCACCCTTCCACTGGCTAGGTAAAACATGAAACACCTGGGTAGCGCAAACTCATGTTCAAAGTCCCAGTGCGCTATTTACAGTAATCCTGATGGATTAAAAGCCATAAAGATGCATGCAGTGATGAATCCAGTGATGGCCCCGCAACGTCATTATAAAGATGCATGCATTCCGTGGAATGAAGCACCTAGTGTGTAGCATGGCATGTGGAGATGAGGAAAGAATCGGCAATGCCCCCAACAATGAATAAAACAATATCAAAATCGGTACACTGGTGGATTGCAGCAGATTTTTGGACAGGCATTTGTATGCCATACCTGTTCCCCGCACCGTTTTCATATTAGAGTCTAGAACTGTTATCTAGACCCCCCAATCGAGAACCAGGCCCAGCCTCACACTACCCTTAGAGTAACTACTAGGCTCTGGAAACAATGCCTGATTCTTGTGGATGTAACTCCACACCGACTGACTTCAGCTCACAAACAGCCTGCAGATCCAGCAAAGAACATGATTGGCACCAGGAACATCAAAATGAGACGAGAAAATAAGAATCAGGATCCAGCATGGTGGAAAGGCACTTGAGGCGCCTCAGAAATCTTTTGGATGTAACTGCACACCGACTGACCTCAGCTCACAGACAGCCTGCAGAGAAGAACATCAAAGTGAGATGAGAAAAGGGAATCAGGGCGCAGCATGGTGGAATTTTGTAGGCGCCTCAAAAAGGAATCAGGATCCAGCATGGTGGAAAGGCATTCTCAGTGAGAGGTGAAGTTTGCCGCGACTGAAAAGGCTTGAAAGGTAGACAGGACAGGGCATTCTTGGGAGACAGGACAGGAAATACTTAGGAGAAAGGATAGAACATACCGTACTCATGAGGGAGCAGGATTAGGGATAGCTCTGACCAATTGAGGATAGGCATGGAAATGAGGAACGCTGATCTCATGGGGAAATCGATACCTGAAAGCATTCTCACATGGTTGATGGGAATGGAGAATGCCACTCCTTCAGCATCCGACCAGACTTTGAGTTGACTAAAAAGTCTCGCAGTGAGAGATGCAGTGAGAGATGCAGTGAGAGATGCAGTGAGAGATGCAGTGAGAGATGCAGTGAGAGATGCAGTGAGAGATGCAGTGAGAGATGCAGTGTGAGATGCAGTGAGAGATGCAGTGAGAGATGCAGTGAGAGATGCAGTGAGAGATGCAGTGAGAGATGCAGTGAGAGATGCAGTGAGAGATGCAGTGTGAGATGCAGTGAGAGATGCAGTGTGAAGCGACTCACATGGTTGATGGGAATGGCGAATGCCACTCCCTCAGCATCCGACCGGGCGTGAGGTCCCACATGTTCTCACTCATGGGGAAGAGGAGCAAGGTGGAACTTGGAGATCCCTTTAGCAGTAGAATTTAAGTGACTCACATGGTTGATGGGAATGGCGAATGCCACCCCCTCAGCATCCGACCGGATGGCTGTTGTGATGCCAATCACCTGCAGCCACCAATCAGATCGTGCCATTTCAGCAGCAAACTATGCAAAGCATGACCTATTTGAGTGGATCCATACTCGTCTGAATCTGTTAACAAGGGGACTGCCTGAGCTTCACGGGTTGATGGGAGGGCTAGCAAACAGCAGGTGACATACAGGGGAAGCAGGTTAACACAGCAACACACACCTCAGCAGAAGATTGAGAGAGGAGCACCAACTCACCTCTCCAAACTCGTTCACAAGGGGACTGCCTGAGCTCCCCGGGTTGATGGGAGGGCAGGCAAGCAGCATATGGCACATACGGGAAGCAGGTTTACACAGCAGCACCTCCCCAAACTCGTTCACGAGAGGACTGCCTGAGCTCTCCAGATTGATGGGATGGCAAGCGAGCAGCATGTGGTAAGCGAGCAGCATATGGCATACAGGGGAAGCAGCCTCACACAGCAGCACGCACCTCCCCAAACTCGTTCACGAGAGGATTGCCTGAGCTGCCCTGGTTGATGGCACAATCTGTTTGGAAGAAGTGCAGCGAGGAGTGCGGCACTCCCACCTGATGGGAGAGAAAGAGGGTGAGGGAGAGAGGGAGGGGGAGGGAGAGGTGGAGAGGGAGAGAGGGAGGGGGAGGGGGAGGGGGAGGGGGAGGGGGAGTGGGAGGGGGAGGGGGAGCGGAAGGAGGAGAGGTGACCAGGTTGATGGCACAGTCTGTGGAAGAAGTGGAGGGAGGAGTGCGGCACTCCCACCTGGTGGGAGGGGAGGGAGAGGGGGAGGGGGAAGGGGAAGGCAGTTGGAGAGGGAGAGGGAGGAGTCGGAGTAGAGAGGGGAGAGCTGCCCGAGTTGATGGCACAGTCTGTTTAGAAGAAGTGGCACTCCCACCTGAGGCCGGTGAAAGGGAGAGGGAGTGGGAGAGGGAGAGGGAGAGGGAGGGGGAGATGGAGAGGGAGGGGGAGGGGGAGGAGGAGGGGGAGGGGGAGGGGGAGGGGGAGGGGGAGGGGGAGGGGGAGGGGGAGGGAGAGGGGGAGGGGGAGGGGGAGGGAGAGGAGAGGGAGAGGGAGAGGGAGAGGGAGACGGGAAGGAAGGAGTGGGAGTGGAGAGAGGAGAGCTCCCCAGGTTGGTGGCACAGTCGATTTGGAAGAAATGGAATGAAGAGTGGGGCACTCCCACCTGGGGAGAGAGGAGGGGAGAGAGAGAGGGAGACGGAGAGGTGGATTGAGTGGGAGTGGGAGTGGTGGAGGGGGGGAGGAGAGGGAGAGGGAAAAGTGGGAGTGGAGAGAGGAGAGCTCCCCGGGTTGATGGTACAGACGGTTTGAAAGAAGTGGAATGAGGAGAGGGGCACCCTCTCTCCCTCACCTGAGCAGCAGTGCGGTGCAGGCTGCTGATCACGCCCAGGCTGATGCTGCCAGGCAGTCCCACGTGAACCCGTGTAGGTCTGCTTTCCCCCTCTCCCCCTTCCCACATCCCCCACCCTCCACAGTTGCAATCTCACCTGAGCAGCGGTGCGGTGGAGGCTGCTGATGACGCCCAGGCTGATGCTGCCAGGCAGCCCCACGGGATTTCCCACCGAGATCACCCAATCAGCAAGCTCCACGTCATCACTGTCACCAATGGGCGCACAGGGGAGCCAATCCTCTGTCCTGCTGCCCACTCCGCCCCCCTCTGCATGCTGTTGCCCTCCTCCCTGTCCCCCTCTCAATCCTCCTCGCTCTCCTCCTCTCTCACTTTTCTCCCCTTCACCCGTTTGGCCCCCTCCCTTTCCTTCTAACCCTCCTCTCTCTTCTCCTCCACCCTCATCTCTCCCATCTCTTTCCCTACGTACATTACTGTCGGCATTGCCCCTGACCCCCCCCGCTTCACCTCCTATCCTCATCGAGATTACTACCCTCTCTGCTTAACTCCCATGCTTCCATCACCATTCCCAACGAAACCATCCGTGTCATTATACCAATGCCTGTCACCATTGCCATTGCTGTGAACAGATCTAATACCATCCACTTCCCCATCAATTCTGTTACCACCTTCCCCCTCAATGCAGCTACCTCCTAGCCTTGCGCCTCCACAACCCTTCACGTGGTGTTCTCCTCTGGTTTCTCCCGTGTTCTCTGCTGCACTTGTTCCCTCCCCCTTCCCTGCTGCTACCTTTGCCTCTGTAACCTCTTGCAGGCACGGGAGAGAAGTAGTGGTGCTTGTTTCTGCGAGCAGTCTGTGAGCCACCTGTTGGTATCAGCAGGTGAAATGAAACAGTCAGGCAAGACGGTTCTGTTGTGGAATATTTTTCTTCTTCTGCATGTCAATATGAGTATGCTTACTGCCGTCTGTATTACACACAGTATGGAAAGCACGGGTTTGCACAACAGCCATCTACATGGAATTGAATTGACGACTATCCCTTGACCTGGCAGAGCACTGCCACGTCAGCAGAGCAGAGGAATGACGTAAAGATGAATTGGCCTCCTCTCTCTGACACGTCTCACATGTACCTTTAGCACTGCAAGGTCTGCAGAGGGATGCAGAACGGTTGACTCAGTGGCAAAGCGATGACCGTCAGGGAGAAGCAGCTGATGCGATGGGAGAAAAGCGGGGAGGGGGTGGAAATGGGGGAGAGGGGAAATGGAGCACTGTTAGGTATGCAGAGGGATGCAGTGCGGTTGACTCAGTGGCAAAGGGACGACCGTCAGGGAGAAGCAGCTGATGCGATGGGAGAAAAGCGGGGAGGGGGTGGAAATGGGGGAGAGGGGAAATGGAGCACTGTTAGGTATGCAGAGGGATGCAGTGCGGTTGACTCAGTGGCAAAGGGACGACCGTCAGGGAGAAGCAGCTGATGCGATGGGAGAAAAGCAGGGAGGGGGTGGAAATGGGGGAGAGGGGAAATGGAGCACTGTTAGGTATGCAGAGGGATGCAGTGCGGTTGACTCAGTGGCAAAGGGACGACCGTCAGGGAGAAGCAGCTGAGGAGATAGGACGGATGGTAGGGTGGAAAGGAAGAAGGGAGGAAGGACAGATGCATTAGCTGCGGCGGATTCTCTCGTTTTCCGTCACTCTAGCCATGCCTTCACTGCATAAGCACTTCTGTGAACATAGCCAGGAGCACTTTCGTGCAACACCACACATGCATCTCTGCGTACATGTGTGCGCGGCAAGAGGAATCCACGATGCCATGCATGCACTGGGGTGCGGAGCGGATTAGCATGTGCCTTATGGCATGTATGGGACAGACATGAGTATCTATCTAGACTAACCCCAGTGAAGTGATTCCTCTCTTCGCCCTGCCGTCACTCTCGCTGCACCATCCACCACGTGCGCATTGGTGAGCACCAGCCGACTTGTGAGGCGCCTCAAAAGTCTTTTGAGGCGCCTCAAAAGTGCAGCGAGTGTTTTTTTAGAATTCTCAAAAAACACTCGCTTTTGAGGCGCCTCAAACGTGCACCATCCAGCACGTGCGCATTGGTGAGCACCAGCCGCTGAGCTGAGCACTGCTGACAATGAACCCGCTGCCGCTGGTGGGTGGAGAAGTGGGGGAGAAGGAGGGATGGAAGGACGGTTTTAAGGTGTCGTGTCGTATTTACTATTACTCGGCGATTCAAAAATCAATCGCTGATAGCTGCAGACTGACGACGTTGGTGGGTGGAGAGAGAGCGACTGGGGAGTGAGGAGGGCAGAGATAGCAGGGCAGGTGGAGAGTAACTGAAGCGCCCCAAAGGAGATAGTCTTTGAGGCAACCATAGCGTGATGACTTCTGAGTCGACTCAAAAGTCATCTTGAGGCAACCACAGCCGCACAGCGTGCTGCTGAGCTGACATTGCTTCCTGGGAACACTTTGAAATGCACGTGTAACATGCTCCGGAAGGATGTAACATTGCTTCCTGGGAACACTTTGAAATGCACGTGTAACATGCGCCGGAAGGATGCCCACACATGCATGCGTGGCATGCTCTCTGCATGTGCGGCATGCTCTCTGCACGTGCGGCATGCTCTCTGCACGTGCGGCATGCTCTCTGCACGTGCGGCATGCTCTTTGCACGTGCGGTGGAATATCGTCTGCCGTGCATGCGTGCACTGATTTTGAGACGTCTCAAATCTGGCATGCTCTCTGCACGTGCGGTGGAATATCGTCTGCCGTGCATGCGTGCACTGATACTTTAGTTGAAGGTTCAGACAACCCGTATTCTTCTCAGGTATGGAACCCAAAACTTCCCTGACTGGATGGCGTCCTGAAAAGCCAGTGAACAGAGAACGGATTAAAGTGGATTGCTAAGCAGCAGCAGTAGGGCTCACACACTAGTTTCTGTGCACTCCTCTGGTGGTGCTTTCTCCTTCTCCCTCAGCTTGCCTTCCCTCCTCCCCCTCTCCTTGAGCCTACGTAGCCACGCCCCCACTCGAGTCTTGGCTTGTGCATGCAGTGTGTGACAACAACACTGGTGCAAGACAAGCGAAGAAAAGTGGACTGCAGGCAGCAGTAAGGCTCACACACTAGTTTCTGTGTACGCCTCGGGTGGCTTCTCTTTGGCCTTCCCCCTCAACTTGGCTTCCATCCTCCCCCTCTCCTTAAGTTGGCGCAACCACGCCCCCACTCGAGGCTTGTGCGGCCATGAGGATGCCGGGCGAGTGCTGCCATCCTCCGCACTGCTGCAGGCGCTGCCATCCGCGCTGCTGCACTTTTGAGGCGCCTCAAAAGACAGCCACGCCCCCACTCGAGGCTTGTGCGGCCATGAGGATGCCGGGCGAGTGCTGCCATCCTCCGCACTGCTGCAGGCGCTGCCATCCGCGCTGCTGCACTTTTGAGGCGCCTCAAAAGACAGCCACGCCCCCACTCGAGGCTTGTGCGGCCATGAGGATGCCGGGCGAGTGCTGCCATCCTCCGCGCTGCTGCTGGTGCTGCAGGCGCTGCAGGCGCTGCTGGTGCTGCCAGTGCTTGGAATCGGATCGGATCTTGCCAGGAACATCACGTCGTCTGCGGAACATGAGTGGGTTGATTGCAGTGCACGTTGGGATGGGAGGGGTGGAGGAAACGCGCGATGTGAAAAGGTGTGAAATGGGGGAAGGACGAAGAACAGGGCTCCGAGAGAGGAAGATGAGACCAATGAGAGAGGAAGGTAAGGGAGGGCATGCATCACAGGGTAGGGAAACAGTCCACAGGGTAGGGAAACAGTCCACAGGGTAGGGAATCAGTCCACAGGGTAGGGAATCAGTCCACAGGGTAGGGAATCAGTCCACAGGGTAGGGAATCAGTCCACAGGGTAGGGAATCAGTCCACAGGGTAGGGAATCAGTCCACAGGGTGTTTGCTACATACAGTATCACCACAGGGTGTTTGGCAACGGATGGCAGCATGTGCCAACGCATGACTTATATCAAGGTGAGGAACTGTATAGGCTGTTTACAGCTTGAGTACAAGCTGATGTGTAGCTCACAGCACCGAGCAGGACCCTGCAGCAAGCAACCTGTCTAGGAGAGCAGAACCCTGCATACATACATAGCATGGACTAGTGGTTTCCATGGTGCGGCGGCCTTCCGAAGGAGCATACGTCGTGCTCTTTCGGTGAAACCGAAGAGGTGAGCCGAGTAGCACCAAGGCTTACCTTTCCACCTCTAGCTGCACGACAGCTGGCGCCACGCGATTGGCCGCGAGCCGGACGAATGCATTGGCCTTAAGCCTCCTGCCCTGCTTGCTTCCAACAACTCCCACTTGACTTGATTGCGCTGGACCTGTAGTTGTAACCGTGGCTGTAGCTGCTACAGCTGGTGCTGCTCTCAGTCCCATGGCTGCAGCACCCATCAGGAACAGACTAGACAGCAGCAGCGCTCGCACTCCGCCCCTCAGGAGCTTGCTGACATGGGAGAGAGCAGCAGCAATGCCGCTGCAATGGGAGAGAGCAGCGGGGACAATGCGGCTGAGGAGGGTGTCTTGAACACCAGTGGCATTGTCCGCTGCTGCATTGTTTCGCCGGGGACAATGCGAAACAAGCAGTGACACCAGTGGCAGCAACGGAAGCAGAGCAAGCAGGGGAATCAGAGGACGGTCAAGCGAGGGGGAGACGAGTGTCCGAGGCTCGAGCAGAGGCTCGGACCACCCCACTGTGACAGGCTTGGCCAGGGAAGGCTTGGGTGAGGACGGGTGAAGTGCGTCACTTGAACCCAGCCTGCCCTGTTGGAGCAACAATGTGAACACGCGTGGAAGGGCGGATGGCAGGGCGGAGAGGCATGGGCGGACGAGGAGCAGGGAGGGGGAACGAAGAGGCGGAAAGCGGCTGCTGCAAGGACGAGAAGGACGAGGCTGCTCTGAGGGTCGGACGGTTTCTGACACTCCATTGTAGAACCTACTACGAACTCGAGGTGCCTTGCGAGGGAACTCGGGAGCAAACCGTCGAGTCTTGGACGCGTGAATCGGACCTGATACGAGCGCTGCGTGAGAAGAAGCCATCGACGGTGATCTGCTCACGGGGCGAGGCGAGTCAGGAGCAACCCGTCGAGTCTTGGACGCGTGAATTGGGCCTGATACGAGCGCCGCGTGAGAAGCCATTCACGTTGATATGCGCATGCAAGCGCGAAGCTTCTTAGACTCCTTGAATGAGATTCCACGAACGTTCTCATCGGTTGACTGATTGACTGATCATCACACGGGTGGTGGTCATCACTGTAGGTTCTGCAGGGCGGTGGTGGACTCACCCTACAATCGCCCACCACGGTAAAACGCGTGCGGGGCGAACACTGAATTGCCGCGAGAGTGCTAGTGCCGCAAGATGTAAATCGACCGTCCTACTATACCGTCTCGTCGCTTACAAAATCGCAAAAGCTAACTGATAACTCAACGGATCGGCTTCAGAAATTTATCCCAGCTGCCCGTTTCTGCTGCTGAGGAAAGTAAAAGCCGTTTGTGGCTCACTATAATTTCTCGATTCGATTGCATAGAGGAGAGGGATGTGCGTTGAATATTGTATATTTTGACGAAGAGTTCGCGAAAAAACAGATCTCGTCTATGTACGAGGTAACCGTTGGCAAACTCTCAGCTAGCGAGTGTCACCTTAGGAGAAAACGTCGCCCTGTGAAAACTAATGTCGCATGTCGCAACGCAAGCGAGGTTCTCTATCAGCCCCCAAAAGTCGGGAATTTTACACTGATTTGTGTTTAAAACGTTGATTTTCAAGGTGTTTTTGAGCCCGTAAGCTGATTCATTATTTTTTTTTCTAATGCCAACTCCGAATTTCTGTCATATTATATATAACGATGTAGGCTGTAATGAGGTTAGCTACAGGGGGTATAACACTTTTAGGGTTCCTACCTACTTATACCACCCTTGTTCCTTAGTCACGGTTTCCACTGTTTTCTGTTTATGAGAAGGTATCAAGAGTAGGTTACGACCCTAGCCTAGTCTAGACTCGCCTCGCCCCGTACCCACCCCGTTCCTCTCCTTAGTAGGCCGCGCCCCGCCCATAAGCAGGTCCCGTTAGCACGCCGCGCCCCGCCCCTAAGCAGGCCGCGCCCCGTCCTGTTCGCTGCCCGCCCCGTACCCGTCACGCCCTTCATCCATGCACGTCCTGCCCCGTCCCGTATCCGCGCGCGCAGCCTGCACGCGCCACTTGCACGCGGAGCACGCGCGGCGCACCAATCGGAGGCACCTCCGACACGTCTCTTCTCCTCCCCCATGACAAGAAGTCCACTTCACCAGCTACAACAACCCATTTACGCAGGACGGGGAGTTTGTCTCTGACGAACACGAGCAAGAATGGGACCTGCCGATTCCCCTGCTCGAATCACCACCGCACGATGACGATTTTCTCAACTCGGCAAGCATCACTAGCTACTATTTTGGACACTACATAGACACCCGTCCCGTCGATAACTACCGCGCTGCTGGCGACAAACGCATTCCGTTCCGCAACAATCCAAGTCTCGCACTCTCGGTGCAACAACGCGCCGACTCCCACAACACATGGTACCTTGACAGCTGCTGTGGACAGCATATGGTGGGATCCAAGCGTTTCATTTCCAACGCACGACCAATTCCGGAACCTACCATCGTCACTGTCGCAAATAACAAGCAACTTGCAGCACGCGCATGCGGCATCGTCGTTCTCAAAGCACACGACAGCGACATCTACATCACGCTCAACGTCGTACTTATCGTACGAGATCTCCGTTACAATCTCCTCTCCTACGAACAACTCGTCAATAGCGGCGTGCTCATGACCACAGACCCTGTCACTTGGTGAATCCTGATGTAGTGGAAAGATTACAGTTGCCCCACCGATCAACCACCCTACATCGGGAAAGCACGCGCCGACAACGGTGTTTACATCCTGGAGTTTGACATTCCCGAGTGCCGCGCGGACTCTGGAGACCTCATTGACCTCCAGCCTCAACAAGTTACCGATCCCCACGGACTCACACACCCCGATGGGCGCCCCTGGGTCAAGCATCATGCTCATCCCAGAGAAATCGACCTTCACACACCTGGACCTGATGGACTCTGCCAAAACTGCCGCACACCAACAGCCTCCACAACCAACGACAGGACACGAGCACCGCCAGCTGACGAAGGCGAGTCATCAACTACAGCAGCAAGGCGTCTGGCAACAGCAGCAGGCGGGCCCTCTACAGAGCAAGGCATACAGCCCGCCGGCATGGACATAGTGGAGGAAGCAGAATGGCCGATGGAACATCCTACAGGCATGCGCCATCACGCGGAACTCGCTGCGGCCCTCACCATCTTCCAACCACGCCGGACTCGAACTGATCCCACCGTGCACTATCGCCTCCACCTCCTCACACGCTACACAGGACCTGGAGCAATTGATCGTGACAACAATCCCCTGCCACTGGACTGGGAGACATATCATGTTGCTCATCCCTGGTCCCACTGCTGAAGAGTTTCAGCGCCATGAAGAAGAAGAGAATCGCCGTCGCGCCGACGAAGAAGCCAAAGCAGCAGCAGCAGCAGCAGCAGCAGCAGCAGCCAACAGGGGTTGGGGAAGCGGAACTGGGGCATTAGGATGGGGAGGAACCGCACCAGACTGGGGAGCAGGAACCTGGGGGGCTGCACAACAAGAGGAGGAAGAGGAGCCCATCGAGGATTTTATAGCAAGAACAGAGAAGGAAGCAGCTGAAGAAGTTGCAGGGCCCTATGGGTCCCCACGACCCATAGGCATTCCCCCCTCAGGAAACTCACCCTCAAGTGACTCCTGGGCCTCCTCCACACACTCCGCACCTCCTGTCGATCGTGATACCATATTACCATACCGCCGCTACCCCCACAGCCCACTCCCAACTGAATCCACTCCAATCGGTCCCCATGACCCAACAACCGAGGGACCATCCACCATACAGGGCCTCCCTCCTCACCACATGCCCCGCCCAATCCTTCCTGAAGAAACGGCTGACACAGATGACCCTACAGCACCACCTGCTGCCATCGCCACAGTGGAACAAGCCCCACAGCTCACCGCTCGTGACCTTATCCTCGCTCTTGGACTCTCCATTTCACCACAGCCCATCCCACAGCATCCTCCCAACAACATCACTGAGCTACTCACCTTCTACGCACGCTCACCTGCCATCCGCGCGCGCCCAGACCTCTGGCACAAACGCCTCGGTCACCCCTCACAAGAAGTTCTCAACAACTGCATCCGCGCCGAAGTGTTTATCCCCGGAACCTTCCTCCGCCCTGATGCAACCCCTGTTCCCATTAACACCACTCGCCGCACTGACTGCGAGATCTGCCCTGAAGCTGCTCTGACACACAAGCCCTTCAAGCTCCTTGAGCCCAGCACCAACCGTTACGAAAAACTTCAGAAAGTATACAGTGACTTCCTCGTTCTCACCCAGACAGGCACCAACGGCAAGGAATACACCCTCACCTTCATCGACGCACACGCTCCCTTCGTCTGGGTGGCCAACGCTTCTCATAGGAGCAAGGCGTATGACATCTTCAAGGTCTGGCACGCCAACGCTGAGACACAGTCTGGCTGCACCCTCAAGCTATGGCAAACCGACTGCGCAGCCGAGTTCAAGAGCGACAAGCTGGCAACATACCTGCAGGAGAAGGGAATCGTCCACAAGCTCTCTCTCCCTTACGCTCATCCCTAGCAAGGCATCGCAGAACGCACCAACCGCACTCTCATGACCAAGGTCCGCGCCCTCTTGCAGCAGAGTGACGTCGACGCGAAGTACTGGCCTTACGCCATGCATCACGATGTTCGTCTCCACAATCTGCTCAGCACCACTGCCAACACCGACAACCTCTCTCCTCACCTCAAGTTCACAAGCAACAAGGGCGACGTCTCCATGCTCCGCGTCTGGGGGTGCATGGTGCAGTATCGGCCAGCAGCAGCAAACACCGGGAAATTCGAACATCGCTCGCGCTGGGGTGAGCATCTCGGCATCAGCTTCGAGCACCACGCCTGGAACATCCTCGACCACGACACCTCGCGAATCGTCGCGGCCCGGGACGTCATATTCTACGAAGACCTCACAATCCGCAAGTTTCAATGCGATCGTCACGCCAACCGCACCAGGGGGGAACACAACATCACTGACTACGAGCGCCCGCCGCGCAGCTTCGCCACTTCTGAAGACGAAGCAGAAGCAGCACTCGCGGACCAGGACCCCACAGATCCCCTTCCCGACCCTCGCCCCTGGAGCGACGAATACGACGACGAGGATAGCGCTCCACTCGACTCCTCGCGCGACTCTCTCCTCCGCCCTACTCCCTCCAGTGGCCACAACTCTGACGACGATGTGGTCGAAGTCACTAGCAACCAGCGCCACAGCCCCGGTCTTTCTGGACTTCACATCCTCGGCCTCCACACTGGTATCTCCCGCCCACCAAAAGCGGTTGAACCCAAAACCCCGCGCCAAGCTCTCACGGGACCCTATGCCAAGAAGTGGCGCGCGGCTATGGACGCCGAAGTTGCCGCTCTCGAAGCCCGTGAAACTTGGGTCCTCGCTGACCGCGCCACATTGAAGGGGAGACGCGTCCTCTCCGGCAAGTGGGTCTTCCGAGTCAAGACCGCAGCCGATGGCACCATCGAACGATTTAAAGCCCGCTGGGTTGTCCGAGGATTTTATCAACGTCACGGCGTTGAATTTTATCAGACCTTCGCCCCCGTCAGCCGCCACACCTCCGTTCGCATCCTCCTCGCCATCGCCGCCGCGAAACATCTTCCACTCTGTCAGATCGACGTCAAGAATGCTTTCCTCTACGCGCCAGTCGACGCCCTCATCTTCGTCGAGCAGCCTCACACCTACAGCGACGGCGACAACCGCATCTGTCAGCTCAAGAAATCACTCTACGGTATTAAGCAGGCCCCGCAACTCTGGCAGCAGCATCTGTCAAAGTACAATCTTACTTGTAGGCTATAGTGGGGCACTCCTTATGGGGTACAGCACTTCTAGGGTTAGTACTTGTACCCCAACTCTTGCTAATCCAATCATTCCTACACAGTTATTCTGACATGGTATTCAGAGCAGGAAACCTGTTAGGTTTTTAGGGCCCACCGATAGTTCCGCTCTCTCCTCCCCGAA